TTGAGAGGAGAGCACATAGTTGTGGGAGATGGGTGGACAGGGAGGTCCATTGCGGGGTGGTTTCGAGGACTGTAAGCTGTGAGGTAGCCAGTGGGTTCGAGAGATGGGAAGTTAGGAGAAGTGTCAGCTCGATGAGTTCGGTGGGAAGTGGCGGTGATAGTGGGGTTGGTTGGACTTTGGACGATTTCGATGGTTTGGTGGTGGAGGGGTTGAGTTCGAGGTTCTGCAGTGATGTGCGGATGAGAGAGGACTGTGCAGATTTTATTCGCACTACTTTCAATTCCTACGATAACGGGGTTAGTATTCGTGATTGCAGCGAGGGGAAAATAGGTCGACGGGCAGCACAAGCTATGCTCGGCGCGAAAGCACTCACTGCAGAGACGGCATCGCGTTCTTTTTGTGCGGGGTGATGTTTGGTCGATCCATTTGGGTTGAGAATATTATTAGTGAGTGTCGCATGTAAAGCTGCGAACTTGGGATTGCATTGTAGAATGGAGTCGTCAATTGGAGGTAGCATTTTAATGGGGAAGTTGTTGGTGTTGACAGAGCGTAAACAAACGGCGCGGTTGAAGAAGCTCTAAATTTCAGATCAACCGCGTCGTCGGTCGTCCCCAGACCTCACTTGCCCCTTCACTTTCATACTCTTCTATCTCTAACTAAAAGGGTGATCGTCATCGAAAATGCTACGATGCTTATGTCCCGTCTTTTCCTTGAGGTTGATTTTAACTTGCTCGTAGCCTTCACTCTGCGTGACCCTTTCGTCCCAACCATCGACACAACACTGCATTGTGTAATGCAAAACCACACCAATCGTTTCCCTCAATTTTTCACGATCTTCTTCGAATTTCTCGCTGTCTCTATCATGCCAGGTGATTGAGAAGCTTGTGATTGGTGTCGAAACCTCTTCCTCTGCAAGGTCATAGAGCACGGCCATGCGAAGTCCATAAGGAAAATGCGCCTCGCCACACACCGTCCAATCTCCCATCTGGCCGTGGCAGTATTTGGTGACATCGAGGTATCGAGGCGGTGGCTGCATAGGGAACATCCTTCGCCAGCTTGCATCTTTCCTCAGCACTGCTTTTCGGGACTCCGCATCTGCAGTCCATTTCATGTCTTCGAAGGATCCATAGTAGTTACGTCGACGCCTGGGTTTAGAGACTCCTATCAGTTCTATGCCACCAAACCAAGGCGGAAATACAGCTTCGAGGAGAGAATTGCGTTCAGACTCTCCTGTGCGATTTTCGGGCCATGCTTGAAAGAACAATTTTTGTTGAAGAGTGGCAGACGTCTTGATCTCTACGTTCCACATCCGATTCACACGTTGAGCATTTACCAATAGGTCCTGAAGAGGCAGCTGAAGGAAGATGGCCTCCAACAACTCAACGGTTGATAGTACCGCTTCTTGGGAGGCAGGAACTGACATTTTGAAGCGCTTAATATTGGGCTATGTGAAGGAGGGTTTGTTTGCAATGGTCAAGATCAAATCCTGCTGGGGGGTTTATGAAGTCCAAGGCAACAATGAGTCCCGCTGACATCACCTCACAGATCCTTACATGGCAAGGCTGAACAACACTGTCATTGGCTCAAGGTGCGAACTTATTCTGCTCAGATATCGATTTAGTGATCGCCATATTTTGACACCATGTTTGTAATTCAGTATGTGGAGAGCCAGCAGCATTTCCCTGGTATTTTGAGTAGCTCAGAGAGAAAACACGTAGGAGGTCCGCAGTCACAAAAGATCCCAAAGTTAGGCCTTGATGATTCAATATTTCAACACGAGTATAGTTCTTCTACTAGGCTATTTGTTAATGCACCATGATTTTTGGCGCAGAGGGTCTCCAATGTGCCCTTCCATGACATAGTCTTTTCAGTCCCCCGAAATGGATTTGGAAATCCTCCTGCCAAGTGGGCTAGCTATTTATGTATTACTACGCTTCTCAGGTTTTCCTCCTAGTTAAAGTTTAAAGCTCCAAGCTCGACTATATCAGGAGATCTAGATGCGAGCTGTGGCTACTACTATACTTGAAGAGAGGATCGGGTTACACATATTGGGTACGTCGTCAACCTCCAGTGAAATCAAGCGCAAATTTGACGATGTCTTATCCTTAGACCTTGGCAAAATTCCTCGATTACCCTTCACTAATTCCGGGGTCAATTAAAATACAGGGTGTAACTATCGAGATGCAACTACCACATCATTTGCTACTTCGGAATCTCAAGACCCATGCTGGAACGAAGAATGTGATGTGGTCAGCACTGCTTCTGTCTGAAATTCTACGAGCCTATACTGTGCGAAATTCCCGGCTTTACGATTGTACGACTACTTCTAATTTGACTCTCCGAGATGACTAATAAGTGATTACTGGGGTCATGATCTTTGCGTAGCATTAAGCTTATTTCTACCCGGATGCCTGGGAATCCAATGTGGCAGTGCAGCACGTTCTGTTCTCCACTTGAACTTTCATCCATATATGGTCTGCAGCTCGTACCTGCAAAAGAATCTAGGTTCTGTGCATTCGGAGAATATATCGCATTGAGCGACGCCGACATATATAATGATTCTCACACCTTTCAAAGTCAACCGCCAGAGGGGAACATACTCACGGAAGCCACATTTCAAAGTGAGAACTGGATGTGGAATGTGTAAGTGAGTTTTCATCATTACCATCATATCTAAAGATTCAGAATTTAACAGTCTATTAGAGCCCGCCATTTAAAATGTGATGAGACTCGACCAGCATGCAAGAAATGCACAGGGGCCGCTTACGATTGCGATGGGTATGATTCCAACTCCAGGACGACCCAGATATCGAAGAACCGCGTTCAGTCTCAAGAACTTGCCATAATACCGGCTCTTAGTCAAGTGAAAGGCTCATCTGAAGAAAAGGCGTCCTTTGAGTTCTTCCGGGGCTGGACATCAGAAGTGCTGTCCGTTCCGTTCGACGCAAAATTCTGGAAAAAAGCTGTGCTACAGATCAGTCATTCTGAGCCTACATTATGGCATTCTATGCTGGCTCTTAGCAGCGCCCACCAGTGCACTATGTTTGTCGATGAGAATGGTAATATTCCAGCATCTCGTCGCCAGATTGCCATGCAACACTATATCACAGCTCTTGGGCTCCTAGCCAACAACAAATCAAGCAGTCAACTCTCGCTCGAATTAGTTCTTGTTAATTGCGTTATATTCGTCTATCTTGAGATACTTTTTGGCAATAACAAAGGTGCAATGAGACATTTGCAAAGTGGCACAAAGATCATGAATAATTACAAAACACAGAAGATCAAGAAAGGTCCCAAACACCAGCTTAATGAAGATTCTCTTATCGAAAGAGGTATCGCGCCTCTAATTGCGACGATGAGTCTACATGTTCACGAAAATATGACGGACGATGAGCCGAAAACCATCACTTCTCAGTTTGTGGAAGAGCTTCCATATGACCTTCCTCCGGAAGCGGGCTTCACAAACTACGACGAAGCAAGACTCTACCTCCTAAACGTCATGCCCGAAGTACAACAGTTCACCCGAGCAAGTGAACACTGGGACGAAAGCACACGAGAACTCAAGATGCCACGCCAACAATACCTCCTCTCCCTCCTCTCATCCTGGTCCAATGCCCTCGAACCCCTCCAAGCCATATCCGCTCTCGACACCGAACTCGCCGGCCTGGAAATCTTCCGCCTCCTCCAAGTAAAAGCCTCAATCTTCCTCTCCACCGCCTTCTCCACCTCCGAACTAAAATACGACGCTCATGTCTCCGCCTTTGAAGACATCATCTCCTCCATCGAGCGCCTAATCGCATCTGTTGACCCAAGTAACACCGATCGTCTCGACTTCCTTCTCAGACACTGCTTCACTTTACTTAATGCGACGATTATTAAGTGTCGGAATTCGAGGGTGAGGAGGAGAGCGATGAAATTGTTGAGGTTGACGCCAGTTAGGAATGCGTTTTGGGATATTAGGGCGCAAGTGAGATTGGTGGAGAGGGTGGTGAGGATCGAGGAGGAGGGGGAGGGCTTTGATGGCGAGGAAATAAGGGATGCGTGTGGGGATGTTGTAGTTGGGGAGTGGGGGAGATTGGTGAGCGTTGGGGTGCTTGAGGAGGATTTGGATATGGAGAGGGGTGGGAAGGCGGCGAGGTTGGAGAGGATTACGAGGGAGGGGGTTAGGGAGGTTTGGGTTGAGAGATTCGTGACTTGAAGCTTGTATGTACGATTGCTTCACTAGATGAATCAACAGTACCAGTTACAGAGTCTCACTCATGTTCGTGATATACTCACACTTCAAGATTCCACTACTGCATTTCGTCGGCCGCTCTGAAGGATAAGCGAGGTTGAATCAAGGACTGTGTGAACGGCACATCGCAGTTTAGAATTCGCATGGGAGTGGTCTGGCTACATATGTGGTCTTGCATAAAGCACGACTCATAGTTCAAGCTCACCAGGACATCAAGAGTTCATGTCAGTATAACTAGGCATTTCTTTGGAAAAATTAAGAATACGAAACAATAGTTCTGATTTGTTCTCGAGTACATTCAGTCACCAGCTTGTCACCAGCACGGGCAGTCTCTTCATGCTCATTATCGTATATTGTATACTTAATCTGAAGCTTTAATAAGACATCCTTAGTGCCATTTCAGTTCTGTTCCACGAGAGCTACACTCACTGCCCAAAGGAAGTCAGAGTCATACACGTGACTCACAATTGTCAATTCTTCATCCAATTTAATTATTCTTAATTTTATACAAATTCTATAAGACTATAACTCCCAGGAGTTTCCTCGGTCCCAAAAGCCACTATATTAGCCCCAACCACCCACCAACCAATCACCCCCCTCGCAAACGAAAAATTTCTCCAAACACGCTTGCAGAAAATTCACCTAGCCCCACCACATCTCCCTCCCTCATAAGTTACATTAAGCACTTCTGCAGCACAAATCATTCAAAACAGCCCGGCTGTAAGTTACCACCTCTTCAATTCTCCTAAACATCTTTCTAATAACATCAATAGAGCTCAATCGGTAGAGCGTGAGACTCTTACACATCACGTGAAAGCGTGAGAAAGAAACATCTCAAGGTTGCGGGTTCGACCCCCGCGTTGGGCTCAATCCCCAGCAGTTTACACCTGTTTATCTTTTTATTTTTTTTCACTATCTCAAATTTTCGTGGTTTTTTGAAGGTTTTGAGGAGCTTGGTGTTTTGATATCACGTGGAAGGTCAAGAAGAGCAGGCCGAAGATAAGCGAGCCACCAGGTTCCGGGCCGAGTTGGTCGGGAACTTCAAAACCATCGGCGAAGGTACGAAGGACGACAACCATAACCAAAACTTCATCAATATTGCATCAAGCCAGGGCCGAACTTCGTCGAACGCTCGTATCGACTGCGAGCTGATAATTGCAGCAAGACCGCTGCTGCGCCTCAACTGTTTCAAGGCGTCGGGTTCAAGCATCCATATGTACCTGCATCACGATTTTCTCCCAAATGATCGGAACCTCGATGATCTCCTCGAAACACAACTTCTGTTAAAGTTTTCTAGGCTCCCTTATGTCCGCGAGCGATCTGGGCAATACAGAATATGAAAGTGTATGGTCAAGTGATTGTGCGCACTAAGTGATTACTTTGTGCTCGATGCCATGTTGCACTATCCTCGAGAATATAAAAGTTTTAGCTTCAGGTTGTGAACGATTCAGGCAGAGCAAGTGCGCCAGAATCAGCAATCAATTTGTATTCTTCTTGCAGTTCGGGTAAAACTGCTGTGTCACTTTCAAGGTCCCTCTTCATGTTTTGTCGTTGAAAAGCCCTCCTTTAAGGTTGAATTAACCAATCAGATCGTTAAACCCGTGTTCCATATTATTTAGTCGTGCCATCTGGAGATTTGCAGCGGCTACCTCCAGTGATGCACCCAGTTAGTATTAAGCGATGGAACAGCAACCTTTGAATATGAGATATCTCAAAATTCTTCTGCCTACAAGCACTTCTCGGTGACAAATGCAGTCCCCATCATGGCAACGTTGCTGATATATAGCATTTCTAGTAGCTCCATTGTAGAATTGAATGAGATGTTTTATTTGTGTCTGATAACTGATATTTAGGAAGGGATTCGTGATCGTGAGAAGACCCTTTAATTCATGATGTCGACACTCCGCCGCACCAAATTTGGGCCCTCATATCTTCTACAATTGCTTCTCGGCATCACGCTTCTCGCACCCATCTCAGGACAAGAGCTTCCCAAGCTGCCTTCATTAACACAACTGGCACTCCTGGCGCTGATGGAGAATCCTGCCAGAAATGTCCGTATGAGGCATGCGCTACCAAGGTCTTTTACAACTACTACAATGGCACAGAATATACAAACAGAAATTTCAATTACTAGACAAGGGGAGATTCAATGCTGGTAACGACAGCAATACGTAAGTTGGTCATTATCAAGAAGGAAGAAGCAAAGCTCACAAAATCGGTAGCGTCTGGCTTCTATCTGTAGATAATTGCTATATCCCACAGTTCAAGCTCGAGTACAATGACTCAGATATTTATACCTGGACCCCAATTGATTTAAATCTTTTGGAATCGAGCTGACTTCTTCCACAGCACCAGAACAACTAGCATACTGTAGCGCAAATTCCGAACAACGTACCTACACATTATTATCCATAAGTGTAGAATATGTCACAGAATGCAACGACGAGAAGCAGGTCGTATTGATTGTAAGTTTCCGTCGAGCGGTGAGTGTGCGTGATTTTTGAAGGGGATGGCTGATTATAAAATAGTGGAGCATGGGAGGAATCAGCAGCATTGCGAGGATTATGGGCTGCCGAATCCGGCGACTGCCCCTTCGATGTAAATTGGGTAGGGCTTTGGGTAGAAGGATCATGTAGGTGAAAATGTGGAAAAGGGAAAGAACGAATAAGGCGTTTGGAATTTGAGCAATTGATATTGATGAAGATGCTAGTGCTTACCCCGCTGCTCCTTGTGGAACGAGGACAAGAAAGTATTATACGCAGAGAACATATACCTCCGGAGTAAAAACTTAGAGTTTCTTGTTGCACTTCGCAGATTGGTGACGAGCATCGTGTCATTACGGATCGTTCTTCTGCTCTTCACTTTGATAAGGCCGAATGGTGCCGTCCAGTCCATTACAGCTTTTCAAAATGCTGAAATGTCATTTCTCAATGTGAATCTTCCTTTCACAAATATCTTTGAGAAGCCTCAGACCGGAGAAACAGCACGCTCTTATTTCTTTTCCACTTATAATCCTTCCTGAAATCTCCCACGGGGATCAAGTCGTCATTTGGGCTAAATTCGACGACGGACTTTCCAGTACTGTGCTAAAATTACGTGAAGGGGAATGAGGTACACACTACAATATCCTCAACCACGAATTCGGTTCTTCTCTTATCCAACAACATAAAAAATTGTCCAAATCTCAAATATCCAAGTCTTATACCTTCTTGGTTGCCTTCAATTGGATGCTTTGCTGGTCGGCTGTTCTTCAACCACGAAAATCTTATTCTTGCGTGCGTCACTCTCCGTTGTGGCTCCTTCATCTTCAGCATGATTCTCACATCTCCTCTGGAGTTTTCTGGACAGAGTGTTTTTCTTTTCTTGAATTGTGCTGGGTCATAAAGGTTATGTAAAATTATTTTTCGCAGACGTAAATATGTTATTAAGCGAGGCTCGGTTGCTGAACAGCGCGCGACTAGCAAGGGCGATTTAACCACAACTCCAAGCTAGAGCAGACGGGCTTTGTTTGAGGTATCCAAACCTTAGAATTTCATGATTTTGACGTTATAGTATAGAATTTCCGCCTTCACTGGAATTTTTGCGGAAATAATTTTATGATATCATTAAAATTGTGTCTCACTTATTTAAGTTATCCTTCCCCCTTCACAGAACTTTCTTTCTTTCCAACCTTTCACCATTTTATTCATTAACATATTTGAAGATTAGTTTGCCACCCACCTTTGTCTTCGAAATCCACGCCTTATAAGAAAATTTATCAGAATGAAATATTCGCTTATCTTCGCTGCAATCGTAGCAGCTCAGACGGTCCTCGCCGCTGACCCTCGTCCGGTCTACAACTACCTGGCAAGAACGTCCACAGCGGCGTACGAGCCCATACCCACCCCACACCCTCATGGTTACGAGGCGTCCGAGCGTGATAATTACATGGCATACATGCCCGAAGAGCCTGTGGAGTATGTCCAATACAGGGGCAATGGAAGTGTTGAGGCAGGATGGCCGGCCAGCAAGATGTGGCTGCCTTTCAAAACATTGTAAGTCTTACTTTATAGTATGGTATACTGTGACCTTTGCTAATGATAAAGGTTCAAATTGAGTCTGCCACTTTTGAAGAAGACCAATTCAGAAGCGGAGAACAAGGCAATGTACTACTCCATCCTCAGGGTCGCGAATGAGACGGGCGTACCTGCCGAATTGATCTGGGTGAATATCATGCAGGAGTCCCGTGGTAACGTCACTGTCCATGCAACAACCTCACCGGCGCCATGGAATATCCGCAACCCCGGCCTTATGCAATGCCATGAAGGCAAGGCTTCCTGTGAGGGTAGGTCTTCCTGCCCAGCCAACATCATCTACGAAATGATCAGGGAAGGCACCAATGGCACAGTTGCTGTGGAAGGGGATGGAATCAAGCAATACTTGAAGCAAGCCGAAGATTATGGTGCTGAGGGTGCTCATGGATCATACGTTGCTGCCCGTTTGTACAATTCGGGAAAGTACAGCTGCCCTGGTGGCACTTGCGATTTGGGGAAGGGCGGCGCTACTTCCTGTTATGCGTCGGATATTGCTAACCGGTTGCTTGGATGGATTGGCGATAGTCCTTGCACCAAAGAGTCTCTGTGAGAGCTTTGCGGTGGCGTAAATATTCTCGCAAAGGATATAGAAAACGGAGGAGAGTGGGTTGGGGGTTCCACAACGAGAGAGTGTGTAATCTCGTTTTTTTGCTTCTACTTTTTGCGTGCGTTGCGTGCGTTGCGGGAGTTTGGTGTCTTGTTGGTCATCCAGAACCTGTTACCTTGCTTGATGAGGCCTTGAGACCTTGTGGCGTTGGGAATATACATGAGTCTCCATCTCGTCCCGGCATATTGGCGATCTGGCATGTTGGCGTTGTGGAATTAGGACTCTATCTGTAGACTGTATTGCTCCAACTCCAATTTAGCTACTATACAAACCATTACAATATCAAACGCCATTTTTCTCGTGCTTGCCGTTTTGGTTGGTGTCACTTGTTACCTCCATGTTGAACTTCCTTGTACTCATCGTTATCAAAAGCCAGTCATACGATTAGAGCAGTGTAATATAGAGTGGCAGGATAATTTCCAGGAGAGTGATCTACAATGACATTGTATGTTAGGTCGGAGTGCGAAGTGCAACAAAAATGGATGCATATACCGCTTGGTTGGCACCGACAACAAATCGTCAAGACATAGCAGAGACAATCATGATGACATGGCACCTTTGGTCAGAATGCGAAGCGCAACAAAAGAGGAACGGAATGCCACTTTTCCGAAGGGAAGAATTATCAAAGTCGTAAAGATAAACCCGTAAAGACCGAGATTCGTCAGCGAATTACCCTCTGTACCACAAACATTCAGTAAGAAAATGGAAGTCAGAACCGAGGAGGCTAGACAGGAAACTATCAGAATAGTGAAAGCATTTGCCCCCCTCTAACAGTGGCTTCGATCGATTTTGAGGCGGATGAAAACGATTCGAATACCGTGACCAAAATTGGCGTAGTGAAACGAGCCTACCACTCGGAAGGGTGCCCACAATTTGGATGAGAAGAGGGATCCATGGCAACATGAGAACTCCAGCTGGAGAAGGCAAAAGCAAAATCTGTGTCGGTCTATACTGATCTGCGATGCGCACAGCAATGCACAGAAACAAGAAATGGAAATATTCCAAGCAAGGAGATTTCCAAATTCGAAATTGGCGCAAAGCAAAAGGCTATGTTGTGACTTGTATAGGTATCTTGGGGTAGGCAGTCGCGGCTCCTTCGTATATGTCGTTGGAAACTCATTGGATATGTACTGCTCATAAAAATGCCACTATAATCGAAAGTTCAGGCTAGCTTCCATTCAAAAT